GCTGAAGGACCAGAGCGACCCTATCCGCGAACTGCCATGGCTCTTTGCACCTTTCTGCTCCTGCTCCCATTGTGTGCTGCGCAGCAGCCTGGCACTCTCAAGTCCGAAGGAAGCCCGACTATGACAGTGAAGGAATGCTCCAAAGGGCAATGCACCACCAAAGAGCACAAGCTGGTTCTGGACGCTAACTGGCGCTGGATCCACACGACCGAGGGGTACAAGAATTGCTACGACGGCAACGAGTGGGACACAAGCATCTGCGCTGATCCGGAAGCTTGTGCACAGGACTGTGCACTGGAGGCAGTGGATGAAAAGCAGTACGAGAGAATTTATGGTATCACTCGAGTGCCAGGGGGTGTTCGTCTCAACTTCGTCACCGGATCCAACGTGGGATCTCGGCTTTTCCTCCTGGAAGATGATGACAACTACAAGCTCTTCAAGCTGAAGAACCGAGAGTTTGCCATGGACGTGGACTCCTCCGCTGTGGAATGCGGCATGAATGGGGCGATGTACTTCATCGAGATGGCCGCCGATGGCGGCAAGGGCGTCGGCTACAACGCCGCAGGTGCCAAGTATGGTACTGGATACTGTGATGCACAGTGCCCTCACGATGTGAAGTTCATTGACGGCAAAGCGAACTCGAAGAATTGGAAGCCTCATCCCAAAGACTTCAGCAACACCATGGGCCTTGGCCACTATGGCGCATGCTGTGCAGAGATGGACATTTGGGAGGCGAACAAAATGTCAACGGCTTATACCCCACACCCGTGTGACATTGACACCCCGGGTCAGTACATGTGCAGCGGCACTGAGTGTGGAGACAATGACAGCGGTGAGAGATACGACGGAGTTTGTGACAAGGATGGCTGCGACATCAACCCTTTCCGCAACCAGAACACTACATTCTACGGTCCGGGAGAGCAGTGGGCTGTGGATTCTAGCAGGCCTATGACCGTCGTGACGCAGTTCCTCACTACGGATGGTACTGATTCTGGCGATCTTTCCGAAATCCGCCGCTTCTACGTGCAGGACGGCCGTGCGGTGGCAAGCCCATCCATCACGATCCTTCCGAAGGCACCGAGCTATCCCGACTCCATCACGGACCAAACGTGCAAGGACATGAAGGAGCTTTTCGATAACCAGAACGACTTTCAGGAGAAAGGTGGCAACAAGGCCATGGGCGAGTCCTTGAGCCGCGGGCACGTTGCGGCATTTTCCCTTTGGGATGACATCGATGTTCACATGATGTGGCTGGACTCTCACTACCCTGAAGACAGGGAGCGTGGGGAACCAGGCGTCCAGCGCGGCATGTGCCCGGGCGGTGAAGACAGCTCTCCTCGAAATGTACGCAGCAAGCATCCGCGGGGCTACGTCACCTTTGCCAATGTGGCAATTGGAGAAATCGGTTCCACACAGTCCGTGTACCCTGGAACTACCGGACCAGTGCCGCCTACGGCATCCACGACTACAACAACAAGCCCAGTGGCAACAGTGAAGCCAACCACGACAGTGACAGCCACACAGCCGTCCTGCGCCAAGGCGTGGCAGCAGTGTGGGGGACGAAATCATAATGGTCCGACCTGCTGCGCAGATGGCTGGAGTTGCGTTGTGGATAGCGAATGGTACTCGCAGTGCAAGCCAGGCACTGACACTGCTTTCGCTCAAGCAAACAAACCAAGGGACCGGCGACAGAAGTTCTTGGGTCCAAGCTTCATGCAGTCCAAGGCCACGATTAAGGCTTCAGCCCAGGTCTCTGACAATTGGGAGCTCTGAGGCCAAGGGCAGGATAACATTCCTAATGAATTTGATCCGCCCAGCTGGAGACATTATCTTGTCTGAGCGCTGCAACATAGCCCTTGCAGCTATAGCCACCACAGCCGCTGGTGGAAGCTCTTTTGGTACTGGACTCGGTTTTTGTACAGCCACTGAGTGTCAGCCGTTTTGCCGGCACCCGTTCGCTAGACAGGGGATGGGTGCATGAATCATGTGCTGTATAGTATAGGTGCCATACGACGGATTGGCCAAAGTTTACCGAATAGCCCTCACAACATGTCGCGGCTGCCATGCCTCTGGTGCGGTCATGCGATCAGCAGCGAACAGCAAGCCTGCTACAATTTGGTCCTGGACCCTTCAGCAGCTGATGCTCCGCCACTGAGGCCAAGAAGATGGAGACGGTCCTGACAGACTTCTGGCGCGACGCGCCAGACCTGACTCTCAGTGAAGGAGCCGGGCCCAGTCGTCACAGGCATTACAGTCAGCATGCATGTGTAGGCCTCTGATCTTGTAGCTGTATATTCAGTATGATCGAGTAAGTGCAGTGCAACTGCGAGTATCTGACCTGTCCACAACCATGTTTCTGCAAGGACCTTAGTAGGCTTAAGGACTTCAGGTTTATCTTGGCAGCGCGGGGTTCAGAACCTTGGGGGCTAGAGTTCGCGGAGCAACGCGCCCGACTGTTCGCAGCTTGTGATCGGAACCCGTTGATATTAGTTTAACGCACCGGCACAACGGCTTGTAGCCTTGTAGTGATCTGAGCAAAACGTCCGTCGGTCTGCCTGTCTTATATATATATATATGTATCTACACATACATCAATACATACGACCTCCGCATGCCAGTTGCTCGGAGGCCACCCAAATTAACCGCGCCCACATGGGGCTGGCAACCTTCGATTCCCAACCCCCCAATATCCCCCCTGTTTCCGAGCCCCTCGGATCCTCTAAAAAGTTTTAGCGACCCTGCAGATATCCTGGCGCCATTGTCAGCATTGACCATCATTATGGTCATAACTGGTGAGTATCGACGTGAAGTGTCGTGTTGTAGTTTAGCCTGATTAACTAGTCATGCTACTCCTTCGGCTTCCTTACCATGGTTGGTTATAGAGTTATAGACGGGTGTCGCAGTAGTTATAGAGTTATAGAGCTATAGATGGGTATCGCAGCATAGAGCCCAGAAAGGCCTGTCCTAATTGGTTAGGCGCCGTATTATGTAAACGCCACCGCAGAACCCCGAAACCCTGAACAATAACCCTAACCCTAAACCCCTAAACTAAACCCCTAAACCTCTAAACCCTAAACCCTAAACCTCTAAACCCTACCTTTTCAGGCGAAGGCAAAGAGGTGATAAAAAAAAACCTCTAAACCCTAAACCCCTAAACCCGTAGAAAAGGCGAGACCTTCCAGCACAGCGCTGTGGAGCCATTGAAGCAGTCGCTGTTGGAACCGCGACGGGAAGGTGCGATGCTAGCGTTGTATCGCAGAGATGGCTCTTGAAATTTTAGGTTGGTTCGAGTAGTTACGTTTTAAAATAGGGCTGATGATTGGGTTAAGCTTCTGTGGTGGTTGTTCTGGGATTCATTGTCTCTTTGCAGGTTCCGCCAATAGTTCTGTAAGCTTTCTTCCGTTATGGTCCTACAGATTTTCAAGCCAGATGTGCCCCCCAGAACCCTGGCCTTCGATTCCTGGGAGTTTTCTGTAGTCCCACGCGATGACTCCTGATTCAATGTGAAAACCTAGGACATGTAACATTGCTCCCCTATAGAACCGAATCGACTCGAGGCTGTTGGCTGGGGGTGTAGAGTTCATAATGCACAGGGTTTCAGTGTTTTAGGGTTTGAGGGATGGTCATATCTTGCCTTAAGGTTTTGGTTTTTATTGACGCCAGACAGCCCGGGCTTACAGGATAGCAGAGGGTTTGGAGATGGCGGCTACAGGTAGAGTCTGAAGAGCTCAAGGACGGGCACTGTAGAGAAAGCTGCTTCTCTAGCTCTACAGAAATGGAAAAAAACAGAAACCTCAAACCGAAAGCGCTGAACTCTAGGACTCTAGGCCGTAGCCCCCCGCGACCCGAAACCCGAAAACTGAAAGTCCAAATGCAGAAACACCGCAGACATCAAACCCTCCTAGCCCGCTGCGTTTCTGCAATCGCAAGACTAAGCCCGAGTCAACTTGAGGAATACCCCTTGGCTCAAAGCAGCAATATGCTGTAACATAACCTAGACTAGAAACAGACATGATACCAAAACTGTTGAAAATATGGTATTCCAGCACGCACGCCCTCTGTACTCTCGGGTACGTTCCTAACTTGGGCCCTCTGCGGAGAGCTCCCGCACAGGAGGTTTAGAAAACGAGGGACCCCAGCACATAACTTTCAAAGCTTCAACAGCATTTTGAGAGCTGCGAGGTGCTCCCTGGACCACTCAGAGACTTTGTGAGCTTCTCGCGCAACCGCGGACGAGCTACAAGTCTACCAGGATCTGGCTTAGGAATTGGGGCGTAGGGTTTAAGTTTCGGGAGTGAACGCTTGCGATAGGGCTTAGCACTTAGGGTGATGTAGAGTCAGAATTAACTGAGGCTTGGGAGTTTGAGGACGCAGGTTTTCGGCGAGCAGGGCATTCAAGACCGGAGTTGGTGTCAACTTGTGATCACGCATCTGAGATTCCTGAATGTGCAGCCTTGCATGGAGGTTCAGGGGCATTTGGTATTGGGGGCTCTGAAAGAGCTTGTCATCGCTCATGCGGAGCAACTGAGGGTTGCTTTTCCTGGAACCTAAGGATGTAAGGTTCCTTGTTTTCATTTAAACTCGGAGCGTTTTAATGGACATCTCCAACTCCTGAAACTCTTACTGAGCCGCTAAGCCCGGTAAACCCTAACCTTTCAGCACCAACCTATAAGGTAACGGTTGTTGCTGAAAGTTTCAACATGTAGGATTTACAGGGTACGTGTAGCCTACAGCCCTATGGCAGGAAGTTCATGTATGCGCTTCAACGAGCGATTTTGATAACGGCGACCGAGGAGGCCTTCTCTAGCTCGAGATGTCGGTTTTCTACATGGGAGTTTCCGAAAATTAGGGGTACCTTATTTTGGGGTCCTTATAATAAGGATCCTATTGTTTAGGGTACCATCTGTGGGTCCCCTATTTTTGGAAACCCCCACATGGAGGATCATGGGACTTAGTAAGTAAGGTTGTAAGTACCCTAATTGGGGTTATAATTATAGCTACCTTTTATATAACCCTAGTTACTAAGTCCCATGATCCTCCAAGTAGGGATTTTGCAAGGGTTGTATATGGTTGGATCAGGGCTTTTAGAAGTTGAATGGCATGTTGTGGGGTTGACATACGTCAATCTTTTTGTCAGGTTTTCTGAAGATTTCACAAGGGCTTGTATGGTTTTGTGAGGATTCTCCGAAGCGTGTTACGAGGTTATGCGACACTTACAAGAACTATGACTACTACCGTAGGGCTCCTCATTTAGGCTTAGGGTTGAGAGGTTCAGAGTTTAGGGTTTGGGATTTACTGCTTCCAAGCTTCCAGCGCGTCCAGCCCAGTGCCTTTTCAACTTGCAGATGCTTCGGCCATGACTTGTGGACATTTGAAGGAATCATCCCCGAGAATTACACTTAGCATTGGCTTCTGTGGGCCGGCCTCGCTTCCACAGAATCCGTCACCAGAGCAGCTTCGTCTGGTTGGCCTTGCATCAGACAGATCGGACGCTGCCACACACACACGCGCGATTGTTGTGGGCGTGGCACACCTACATGCACAAGCATGGATATCCAACACACATCCGTTCGTACCATATATGCATATATAAGTTTGTTGGCTACCCGTAGCAGACATCCATGCTTATGTGCTTATCAAACATTCTGCATACCTGCAGCATGCATGCATCACCGATCTTATTTATGAATGATTCCCCCTACAATTCTGAAGCCCTACAGTAAGACAGGGGCCGAAATAATTACGAATACTATTTTGGGCGTTCCTCATTGTAGATATAATATAATGGGCCTTAAAACCCTATTTTAACTATTAAGCCCCTATACCCTAAACCCTTATAGTAGCCCTTATAGTAACCCTTTAAGGAACCCTTTAAAGGAACCCCCCAACCCTATTCTAATTACTAACTCCGAAGCATCGACACGAATTTGACTTGGCCCAGCATGGGAGGCCATCGCGCCTCGCTCGGCCCCAGTCTTGCAGCTCTCCGGCTCGGGGGGTTCCTTAGATGCACCTTATTGGGGCTTAGGATGCACCCTAATGGGGCTTAGGAAGTTTAGGGTTTGTTGCAAGATTTAGAGTTTAGTTGCGCTTCAGGGTTTGGGGTTCAGAGGTTTAAGGTTACCGAAAGGCTCGGCGAAGGAATCACTAGAAAAGGAATTTTGTCGCTAGGCATAAAAAACCCCATCGACCCATTAGTCCCAACATATTATGCCAGAGGCTTTTGCATACCCGAAAATCCTGCGACAGTTCCGTTGTTCAGCTTGTAGTGCCGACCATGTGCAGGGTGGCAGCTCATGTTCAGCTTCAGCAGATTTTGTCAAGCGATGTGCGGCATTACTGGTTGGTGTTTGGCGTATGCAGCCGGATCAAAACGTCTCGGCTCATTTCCGAGTTTGTACGGGTCGCAGCTCACTTCCGGCAGAGTTTGCCAAGTGCCTCGTGCAGGGTTGCTGCTCACTTTTGCTAAATGCGAAGTGTGGTGTGCTCTCGCTTGGAGAGCTTGATGTTCGGTTCCTCGACCCGTGTCCCCCGGGCGACAGCCGTAAGGTTCAGAGTTCGGGGTTTCAGGATCTATAAAGATGTCTAGAGCTAAGGGTAATCGGGCTCGGGATGGATTTTAGGAAACTAGTTGCTGAGTCCCAACTCCTCGACCACAAAGTGGGGACTGCCCCAGCCCTGTAAGACTCACAATGCCGGACCCTAAAGCAGTTTGCAATCGAATAGCTCGAATGCAGCTACTTTCAACCTGCCGCCTCCTGATGTCAGGTCTGCTGGCAGAAACACTCGAGGCACACCGGCCCGGAGCTTCCATGGGACAGCGAGTAAAGCCTAGGTTCTCAAATCAAATCCCCAATTCTTCCGTTCCTGTTGCGACGTGTGGCGATGAAGCAGTGGGCGAAATTCGCTGAGTCCCACGGCGCACATGCTTCAGCCAGATCCTGGTAGTGTTCTGGCATTGTTTGCAGATGCTCCAGCATTCTGGACCCGTGACAAGTGACAAGCAAGAGTCCTCAAATGTTGCCTCGGTTCCGGCAGCGTAGCTCATTTGATTTGCAGCTGAGGATCTTGACCTCCCAACAGCCCTGATGACAACGCCAGAGCCGCTAGAATCAGAAGCCACCACTACAAGACATCGAACTTTCCAAACCTCGCCTTGAGATACTAGCGCCCCTCCGTGAGATCGTGACCTCGAACCCGCGGCCCAGAACCCACCAGGGACGGCCGACAGAGACCACGACGGCAGCAGCAATCTCTGCTGCGGCCACATTACCTCCAGAGTCGGAAGGTGGAGTACTTAAAGGATCCGGGGGGTGACGAGTGGGAGTTTCCGACAATAGGGGGTACCTTATTTTGGTGTCCTTATAATAAGGATCCTATTATTTAGGGTACTATATTAGGGTCCCCTATTTTCGGAAACCCCCAAATGATCCAGGGGGTGACGAGTGGGTTCTAAGTACCCTGGCTACAGAGCTACAAGTCGTCGCAACTATATAGTCATCTTACTTATCAGCGCCCCTGATCCTTGAAGTAGGGTCACGGGCCTTCAGGGTCTAGGAACTGGGGTTTGGGCGTGTCGGCCCCTGGGTTTGTCATGTGGGGGTCTGGTAACAACTTCCAGGATTTAGGAGACTGTGAAGAGCTTATTTTGCAGGGGAGTCCTAAACCCTAAGCCCTAAACCCAAAACCCTAAACCCCAAACCCTCAACTCTAAACCCCAAACCCTCAACCCAAAACCCCAAACCCTCAACCCTAAGCCCTAAACCCTAAACCCTAAACCGTAGATCCCATTGAATTCGACCTCATGAGGCCCTCGATTTCGGGCTGAGGGCTTTGCACGCCTGAGGTGGTTGAGTTTGGGGTTTAGGGTTCAGGGTTTAGGGGTTTAGGGGTCAAGGGTTAGGGGTTTAGGGGTTTAGGGTTTAGAGTTTTGGCGCATGTTGCGACATGCTCTCTTTCTCTTCTCACTTACGTGATGCCGGCCTTGTAAATGAGCATTAGAATAGGGTGTTTGGGGCCATTATCGTTATACATATACTTATAATAAGGAACCCCCAAAACAGTATAGGTAGTCATTCAAACCCCTATAAGGAATTCTGCGAACCTTCCTGATTACTTCCTTACCGGAGCCCTTTACTTGAAGCCTTGCAGGGCCTGAGACTCTCACCCCTACACCCTGAAGCCCCGAAAACCCGAAAAGTCCTACTATATGGGGCCTGAATAATGGCCTATACTGTTTTAAGGGTTCCTTATTATAGTTATATAGTATAAAGGGCCCCCAAACCCTATTCTAATTATTACGGCCCCTATATTTTCCCCCTCTAAGCCTTGAACCGGGCTCTGGTGGGAGGCGTGGCTGTCTTGGCGGAAGCTCCCAAGGAGGCTTGGCTTAGGGTTTTACAGTTTTTTCGCGGTTCATGTCTTCAGGGCTTAATATAGGGGCCTTAATCTTAATTCTTACCTACATCGTTTTGGGGGCTCCTTAGTATAATTGTAGTATAATATACCCCGAAACCCTATTCTAGTTCGAAAGGCCCCTACATTCTGGCCAAATATCAGGTTTTGAGACTTAGGTAGCGATTGAGTTAGACGCTCGGTGTTGGAAAGTTCGCCTTGAGGTGGAGGGTTTGAATCAGATAATATGGAGGCCTTAATAATTAGAATAGGGTTTCGGGGGTTCCTTTAAAGGATTCCTTGAAGGGTTCTATAAGAGCTACGATAAGGGTTGGGTTTAGTCTAAATGATTAGAATAGGGTTTTGGGGGATATTATGCTATAATTATAACAAGGAACCCCCAAACTAACATAATAATGAATTAGGCCCCTACATTATGGAGATGCTGGGAGATGTTGACCACCAAACCGGTCAGCAATGGCCAACAGCTGTCTGCCTGCGCATGTTGGACCAGCATGAAAAGAGGCCCATGAGTTGTCCTTCTATCAATAGCCCGGATTTGAAGGCCAGGTGCCCCGCATGTGCAGGCATTTGTTGCCTAGACGGTCTACGCAATACTAAATACTATCAGCCGTTTCATAGCCATAGTAATGCTATAAGATGCGTGGAGATTTACAAAGTTCTCGTTGCAAAAAGCCTATATAAACCCTTTCAGAATGAAGAAATTCTGACAAAACCCTAGAAACGCGTATGAGACAGCAGCCTTTTGCACACTCCGGATGCCCAACTGAAGCACTATAGAACCCGGTCGAGCCGGAATGCACGTCGAAAACTCTCATGTGCGTAGTATGGCTTATGAATGTTGATTTGAGGGCTGTTCGTTTTATAGGCTGCTGTGGAATGC